GTAAATAAATCAGAGATACATGATGTGATAGGGTGAAAAAGTACCACAAAGAACAGCTGCATCCTAATAGGATGCCTTCCTATTAGTAGAAAAAATTTCCAAGAAACCTCTAGAATTTTATGCTTGGTAGAAGGACACAGAGAGATTTGTAACACAAACTTCTCCAGAAAGCTGCCTCTTTTTCAAGCTTAAAATATTCTTTGAATTATTCTAATTAACTAAAAAGAATTTCTATCAAGTATAAATTTCCCTCCTATAACATGGAGAGGATGCTGAGATGGAACAAAGACGAAATGGGTGCATTCGAATCCAAAGAACAAAATCTCCAACAAAATAATAGGGAAAGTTATGTATCATATTGTGAACTTCAAACCCTATTATTTTGGGGGGTGGTGGTGGGGGTGGTGCTGGGTATTGAACCCAGGGCCTTGTGACTGCAAGGCAAGCACTCTACCAACTGAGCTATATCCCCAGCCCTCATACTGTGAACTTCACAGATACAAAAGAAAGACTGATGGAAGAAGGGAAGGGAAGGGAGAGAGGAGAGTGTGTAAGAAAGGAAGGCAGACTGGCCAGAAAATAGATATTCACAGAAGTTTAAGAGGCTGGTGACATCATGTTCAAAACTAAAACTTTGTGAAAAGACATTTTTTAAAAAAACATCTTTACATTTTAAAACCACAGTAGGGGGATTGGGTGCAGCAGAATGTGGACTTTAATGAAAAAAAATCAAATATAGAAAATCTTATGCTATCACAGGACTGAGTAATGTTTTTTTCTTTGACACATTTGTGTAATTATCAAAGATCATCTTTGAAAGAGGAAAGCTTATGTAGATATTTGGTTTGTGAATGAAGAAACTAAGGCAAGAAGAAGTGAAATGGTGGGTCTGAGGTTACATAGCCCTGAAACTGCAAAACTGAAACTAAATCTCCAGCCTCTGTCCTTTCCTCACTCCATCAGGGACTTGTTGATTTTTTTCCTATGTTACTGTTGGCTACAGTCTCTCAAGCTTCACATGAAATGGACAATTTTCACTTTTTATTGCCCCTTTATAGGAAAACAGGAATGGCCATTCTCAAAAAAACCAAGCATGTTAAAAACATCCTCTGGGCTACAAAAAGTTGGCAAAGCTTGAATTAAGACTTTCTGTTTTCAGTGACCATGGGTTAAACCAACTAAGATGAGACATTTTAAAAAGAAATGTATAGAATGTGCATAATTTTGAGTCTATTTTTATTGGCCCTTGGGAGGAGATACACTTATACATGCATAGATTGTTAAATTATGCTTTTACCCCCATTGGTATGTTATACTGCTATGTATATATTTTAATTTAGGCAAATCTTTGCAAAATAAATATGTCAACTAAGGTTTTCCATATTTATCCTTCTTTTAGATACATCTTATTCAACTTTTGGGTACAGCTGCTCCAGAAAATATCATAGACCTGTAAATATCATGATTGCTAGGAAACAAAGCATTACCATAAGGAGTCTACCTTTCTTTAAAAAGAAAACTTTAATCTCTCAAATGCCATATTTATGTAGAAAAGTTCTAAAACAGGTTCACATACAGGATATTAAAAACTAATCACTAAACTGGTTGCAATGGCACACATCTACATAATTCTAGTGGCTCCAGAGGCTGAGGCAGAAGGATTGTGAGTTCAAAGCCAGCCTCAGCAAAGGCGAGGTGCTATAAGCAACTCAGTGAGACCCTGTCTCTAGATAAAATACAGAATAGGGCTGAGGAGGTGGCTCAGTGGTCGAGTGCCCCTGAGTTCAATCCCCAATACTCCACTCCAAAATTAAAAACTAGTCAATGTACAATTCTTGGCACTAGCAGGTGGACTCAACTGCTGATCAAAGACATGTTGGTCTTTGATCCTTCCCTTAACCCCCTTAAAATGACTATGAATATTTTTTAACAAACAAAAAAGTATAAATCAATAAAGATGACAAGAATTAATAAGACAGTAGTAAAAGAAGCCAGAAAGCCAATTATTCACTGACTTACCTGACTTGAGAAAGTAGAATTTTAGAGCAGCAATGTTGAAAAATCAAAAAGTAATCACATGGGTACTGAGAGCCAACCTCTCACCCATGACTCCAGCCTGTTGGCACTAGTTCCCTGCAGGGGGGATAACATGGGAGGACAGGCTCAGAGACTGCACAAAAGCCAGACACCTGCATTCCTTCTGCTCAGGGCGACTACCAACTGTTCTTTGCCAACCTGGAAAAAGTGTATATTTACTATTTGGAGAGGAAAAACAGATCTGTGGACTGGCTGCAGGGCATCAAACATTGGGGAGAAAGAGCTAATGCACTGGAACCAGGAAAGTAAGCAAATGTTTGCAAGTTAATTATTGAGACCTCTCCCCCCACCCTGCCCTGTTTTTCAAATTCCAGAAAGTTGACACCTAGGCTTTTGCCTTCATGGCAGTAACAGCAAAGAATTCCACTGGGCTGGTTAAATTTTCAGAGACAACAAAAAATATGGAAAACTACCAAAATTGGTGCTGTATGCCCACCATGCAAATCACCCCTTAGTGAGGCGCACAATTAGCAAGTTCTAGATATACCCAGAGAGCTTCCAATCAGTTATGGAATGGCTCATTGAAGAGGATGAACAAGTTTCTAAACATTTAAGGAAAGCTTCTAAAGCAGAAGCCAAACAAAGAGAAAAATGCATCTTTGGGGAAACAATAACATATACAAAGAGAAACCGTTTTAATAAGTATCAATGATGTCTCCAGAGACCTAAAGTAGTACTAGTTACCAAAGAAAAGCATGATGTTATCTAAAATAAATTAGTATCCAGGGATCAAAAATTAGACATTAGAAATTAATAATGTAGTACAGAATAAATAAAATCCAAACCCAAGGTTTAAAAGATAAACTTGAGGTTATCTTCCAATATAAAGAGAAAAAACAGAGCTAGAAAATGACAGAGAAGAAAATAAGAAAGTTTGAGAACTAATATAGGAAGGTTGCTATCTGCACAAAAAATGTCAGAAACATTAAGTATTTTTTTAAATTCTAAGAAGTAAAGAACATAAATTCTAAGACTGAACAGGACTACTACTAGGTTCCCGGTACCATGGATTAAAACAGATTCACATTAAGATACATCCTTTTAGAATGTATCTAAATGTATTCTAAGTTTTAGAATACCAATCCTTAAGGATTCCGGGTGGGGGGGGGGAATGAAAGATAAAAAATGAGCACGGTATTAGACTGCTGGACTTTGTCCACTTCATTATTTTGAAGGAAAATAATTTCCTACCTAAAATTTTGTAACCAGCTAGATTGTCAATTAAGCATAAGAAAAGAATGAAGACTGCCATATCATCAAAGTCTCAATATCTTTCACACACAATACCTTTTCTTAGAAACCACCAGAAAACGGATCTGCCAAAATAAAGAAGTAAACGAAGAAAGGCAGAAATTTCATTCAAGGAAGAGATTACTCAATATACAGACAAGGTAAAGAAACCTCCAACATGATGGAGAAGCAGGCCAAGAGAGCCCAGGGATCATGTATTTCCTCAAGTTTAATCATAGATTGCTTAATATGTTTGAGTGGAGAAAAATAAGACATAATATAGGAGAATTTAGAGACTTTTTTTTAGTGTTAAGTATAAATAAAACTCAGCAAATAAAAAAATAAGACAAAGCAAATAAAAATAAGATGATTATTGATTGCAGAGAAAATAAAAAGATGTGCAGGAAGAAAAATTATACTGCAATGTTCAGCTTCAATTGCAGGTTACACAGTTGTAATGTGTAAATGCAAGCATGGGGTCTGGATTCTTGGGGTTTATATTTACTGGGAGGATGTAAAATTATTTAGGGGTGACACAGTTACAAAAGGGGTGTGCATGTGTAAGGGAAATAAAACTAAAACCCCAACTTCTGTAATAGAAAGTCAATAGGTTGCTCTAAAACAGAAACATCTGAATGTAGCAGTATTATCAATTTTACTCAGAAATATAAAAAGCAATCACCAAAGGAATGATTAAAAAATTTAAAGTGATTGCTTCCACAAAGCAGGAATGGGGTAAAGGGTAGTGTGGGTTTGCCATTTCATTTTTGTGGTAATTCTCATGTAGATTTTTTTTCTTCATTAAACCATGTAAGTATATAATATGATTTTCAAAAGCCAAATTTTAACAAAACTCTATTTTCTATAATGACCAACATCTGAACATCCAACAGTCCTAGAAACTTCTAAACCATTCCTTTTGCTCTAATGCCAATTTCAACTTGAATGTTCTTTAACGAAGATCATAAAAGGGTGCATCACTCCATTATGATATAGCTCTTCCTTGTTTATGTCATCATAAAGCTCATTCATAAATCTATTTTGCTTGTTAAATGGTAAAGTGAACATTATTGACACTACAACTGCTTGAGACTCCTAAAGCAGCTCATGAAATCTGACGTGTGTCCAGCTGCAGATCACCAGAGCTCTTTAGACAGGAAAACAAACACACACTGCCTCTTTATACTAGTTCTTGAACATTCAGTAAAGACTAATGGATACACTTCTAACTTCCTTGCCTGATAATCATGTCAATGCTATTATAAATAGGGAACTCAAATCAACATGCCACACTAATATATTCTCTAGAGTTCAGACACATCAGCACTTTTCCGCTGGATTTCTGTCTCCACAACAATCAATGATTATAACCAATCAGGCCCAGGAATGACTCAATAAACCAATATTTCCAATAGAATCTCTAGGACGATTCTTTTGATACAGATTAGGAAGCCAATGCTTTGTTGTAAACTGATTGAATTAGAAAAAAAAAATACATGATCATGAAGGCATTTGCTCTATTCCAGAATCTCTGGGAAAGCTTTGTCACAGTCATTTGAAAAGAGTGGGTGACAGAATCCAAGAGTAAGGCACATAGTCTAATACTTTTCTTTCTCCCAGTTTTGAAGACACCATAGGGCAAATTACGTTTTCAGGAAAAGAAACAAGCTTACCTTTCACAAGCTCGGACAGTCCATGCGGCAATTATCCATAATGAGATACTAAAAACCAAGAGCACAGTTCCTGGGCAAATAGTCATTAAAGTCTTCATAACAAAACGCGTATTGAAGTTTATCTTATTAAGTGCTCCAATGCTTCTAGAGGAGGCATCAGTGAAAAGTTTGCTATGTAAAAGCATGACTCTGGCAATCAGATAGAGTCTTAAGAACATTGGTATAGATAAAATAATATCCACATCAGCGGTGGTTGTGGATGGGGCATAGGAGAAGGCAAGCCGGGCCGTCCATGTGAACGTATAATTCCCAGGTATGGGATGAATAGCACACACCAGTATTTCCAAGCAGATGAAGAAAATACGCTCATAAGTCATGGCTATTCTCCAGTCATCTGCTCCATTGTCCACCATGAATAACTGAAAAAATAAAGTAGAAAATCAGCTTCAGTATGGCATGAATGGTCCACAAGTGTTAGCGCAGATCTTACTTAACAAGGCATAACAGATGACTCTTAGAGATTGTGGCAGGCTAAGGGTTACAGCTTTCAAATGCTAGCCAGATACTTTATTTTTAGCAAAGGGCACTGGTCCCAAAGGAGAACTTCATTTTATAAAAATTAAAACTAAAACTTGCTACCCTAGAGCAAAACATATTTTGGAGTCTATGTTCCTACACAATATAAGTAACATCATTTTAAAATAAGGGGCTTAGGCCTATCAGTAATGACACCCCCTCAGATAAAAATGGACTTGCCTTAGAACCAGCTGTTCTTCTCTTTAAGAGACTGGACTGAAACCCTTACATAATTCTATTTAGGGTGACTAGGGTGCTGCTGCAATCAGGTATACCCTATAATGCAACAATGCGTGAGCATTCTTATAGGAAATCTTATTCTTGGTTTCAGAGGAAATCACAAGATCACAGTTACATGCAGTAGAAACATTTCTTCCCGCTTCCTCACTACTATTTCATTTTCTATCTTTTCTTCTGTTCTGCATTGCTTTGCTTTACATTATTAACTTTTCAATCTTTCTTTAATAAAGTTTATTTTTACCCGTTTGTCATTTTCACAGTACAATTAAAAAAAATAAACCAAAAAACGCATGTGTGTGTGCGCACGCGCGCGCGCAAACACACACACACACACACACACACACACACACACACACATATCATGGGTATGGGAGAGAAAGAGAAAGCAAAAAAAAAAAAAAAACAGAAAACAATGTCTCTCTCTTCCCTGGCTGTCTATAAACAGGCCCTGGCAGTCCATAAATAACCAGAGGATTTGGAAGTGTGTGGTTGGCTTTTCTGGCTGCCATAGTGACTTTGGGGGCTAGTGGCATTTAGAGCCAGGAAGCCACAGGTGCCAACCATGCGGCAGTGCTGGAATCCCATCATAGGAAGATCTGTCTGCCCAGAATGCCAATGTGCTCCCCCACTGAGAAAGATGCCATGTTCTCTGACTTCTGCTAAGTAGCCAACTCAAGTGGGAAGCAGGAGATGAAAATAATCCAAATGTGAACAGTGAATTCTCAGGTGAGTGAGTTGCAAAGAGGTTGGAGGGGCATTGCTTATGGTTGTATTCTGTGTGCATTGCTATTCTAGAGTTAGGAAAATTATTTCCTCCCATTTAGATGTTGACAAATCTCCACTCTGGCTTAATGATTCTGTAGTTGATAGGTACTTCCCCTGCTATTATTCAAACTGGTCCCTACCTTCTTGTTAACTTTGCAAAAAAAAAAAAAATAGGAATTTGAGAACAAAAACTGCCACTTCCTTCTAGCACCTCAAGGAGTTGGAAAAACAGCACACTCTCTTATCAAAAACATACCAGAATTTTGATTGTCTGCTTTTTCCACCAAACTTGACTCTGAGTGACTTAGCAGTTTGTAAAGGGCACCTCCGAAAGGGCTAAGAATTACCAAAATTGCAAATGATCAAAAGCTGTACAGCAGGTTCTGATTTCAAGAGAGGCTTTCCCCATGCCATCCTGGGCAGGTGCAGTGTAAATGCAGGATGCACACCTTCAGGGTAAGTGGGAAGGAAGTGTCCACTTACATGTATACTTCTGACAGGCTTTTTTATAAGTAGTCTCCTACCTTCCCAGGATTTCCCTCCCTCTGCCACTTGTAAGGGACCTGCTCCCCTACCCTGACTATCTCTTTTCTCAGGAATCTTTACACCCACCCTCTGTTCACTTCTCCAACCAGGCTATTTCTTCTAGTGAGTCTAATCCCTAATCTCATGGCCATCCTCAGCAGCTCTACCCTTCATCTTTAGGTGGGCCTGCCCAGGTAACTCTCAACCTGAAAACTGATGTCCAGGCTACTGGTGGACTGGGACTTCACACCACGCCTTCCAGCTCAGCTGAACCATCAACGTCATTCTGTGATCATTCCCTGTCCCCATAATATTTGCCCCAAGGGCTACCTCTGTTGCCCCCTTCCAGCACATACTTCTCTACCCCCAACATCACAGGAAATACCCTGTATCTCATACTTTAGCCACAAACTTGCCTACATCTGCACTTTTTCCTCTGTCTTTCCCTTTCTCCACACATCTAAAGTCATACTATATCCAAATCCAGTTTCCCTGTATGGAGAGCCTCTTTTCTGGGCCTCCTCTAGCTCAACAAAGTACTCACACAAGGCCAAACTGCTACCATGTACTAAACAAAAACAACAAAACCAGTTCAGAACCATGGCTGGCTCTGTCTACCCTCGCCTGTGTTGTCTCCTCATTTCTCCTTCATCCACGAATACCTTGGAGGTGGCTTTTGCCACCAGTAGCCCATTAATACTAGTCCTGGGAAGATCACTGAACATACCTTCATTATGAAATCCAGCCCTCCTGTCCTAATTTTTATTTCACCTGACTTGTCATTCTTTTCTTCCTGGAAAACCTCTCTTCCCTTGGTTTCTGTGATATGTTAGGTTTTCTATCTGCTACAAGCTCGAGGTCTCAGTCTCCTTCCCAATTTTAGTGTCACGACTCTAATGGGTCCACTGCCAACTCTTCTCTGACTCCACACCTAACTGGGCTAGCTCATCCCTCTCATCTTCCATCATCTAAAGACCTCTTTAAAATGTAAATTATAATATTATATAATGCCATTACTGTCAAGATCAAAACCATCCAAAAATCTCTCCACCGCCTGATGGGTAGAGTCTAACCTACCTTCCACAGCAGACACAGCTTTCTGCAGTCTGGGTTTACCTATCTCTCACACTTCACTGCCTATTATTCTGCCCACATCTCCTTATGGCTGCGAATTCCAGAATACACCAACCTAATCCTGCTTCTTTGTCTTATATAGTATGTCCTATGGCCTGCAAAAGAGTCTCCATCTAGCAAATTCTTATTCCTTCATGACCAGACTTTAAAGAAAAAAAATAAGTTTGTATGTATACATGTGTGTGCACATGCATGCCCCATCCAAAACTGAGGTCACCCCTTTGTTCCAATAGGATTGCTATAAGTGACCCTTACTGATGCTAACACAGAGGACAATACGAATTCTTTAAATATTTTTACCCCTAATTTCCTCTGAGGTTCCTTGAGGATGGGAACCACATTTACCTAGCAGAGTATAACAAATGCTTGTTACAGGAATAGTCTTGATATTTCAAACTTAATAGTGGATCTCCTAATCTTTGGATAGGTCCTAATGTTGATTAAATATGCTCATGAAGATGAGAATACTAAAGCATGATGCAAGTGAAATCTGCAACATTTTAAAAATCCATGGCAAATACATTCTACCAAATAATAAGCTGTGGCAGCAGCATAATTTTGTAATTATACAGAAAGTCAAAATAACCTTCTTCTTCGATAGTTTCCCCAGATAAAAAAATGTTTTATTTCATACTTTCTTTTTACCAGGAATATTAACACCTGAAATGACTTCATTTTTGGTTTTGGTCTTCTCATGAACATTTAAATGTTAAGATGATGAAGAAAGTTTCTTCTACTCATCATATAATTCCCATCCTCAACATTGCTTATTTGTATATTCGATTGTTTAACAAATATCCAGAGTACTAAATACTATATACCAATGCTGCAATATTTACTAGCCATAAAATGGAACTTATATTAATGAGTTCTGTCCATTGTCACTGATTTTTAGTAGGAAAGAAAGCCGACTTGAAGGAATTTGATAAAATAATTACGTTTTTGGATGTTGCTATGAAGGAAACAAACAAAATGAAATAAAAAACAATAAATTAGAGATGAGAGCAGATGTGGTGATCAGGGAAGATTTCTGAAAGAGTACCACCAAAGATGAGTCCTGGATAAGGAAAAGCTATTCACATAAAGAGAGGAAGAATTTTGCAGGCAGGGAAAGCAGCATGTGTAAGGCCCGAGCTTTGCAAAAGCTTGGCGTGCTCAAGAAGTAAACAGACACCATGAACTATAGTGAAAGAGGGGCAGGAAGAAAGAGGAGTAATTTGAAGATACAATTAGAACCAGATGTGCAGGACCTTGTTAGCTATGGCATCAAGACTGGATTTCATTCCAAGTACAGCAGGAGCCACAGAAGGGTATTAAGGAGAAGAATGAGGGATGTGTTCTGATTTACTGATTAAAGAGCTTTTCCTCACTATTGTGAGGTAAGCAGAGCAGAAAGAGGCAAGTATGAAAGAAAGAATATAAGTTAGGAAGTTCTACTGAATTTGGTGGCAGTGTCCCTGTGACCTGGGTGAGGGGTTGTCATAGAAATGAACAGAGAGGCTGCACTGGTCATATGCCTTGGCAATCTTGCTAGAATTTGCTGACAGGCTGAATGCAAGAGCAGTAAAAGACAAGACTCAACAGCACTGAGTTTCTACCCTGAAAAACAGAGTAGATAGTGGTGTCAATTCCTGAGAACCTTTCCTGGGGACGGGGAGGGAAGTATGCAATGAAAGGCTCTATTTGGCCACTGGAATCTGAGTATAGATGCCAAGTAGGCAGTAAGATGTACAAGTCCCAGTGAGAAGTCTGGAGCACTGGAATAAATCTGGGAGGCAACAGTATTTAAGTAACTTTATGGGATCAAAGGAAAAATTGAATAGGAGAGAGTAATACTCAAGGCCAAGTCCTGTGGAATCCCAAACATGGAGAACAGTTGGAAGGTCAGATCTAAGAGGATCTGAAATGCAGCAGTCTAGGAAGTAGGAAGAATAGAAAGCATTATCTTGGAAGTCAAGTGTGCCAGCTGTCAATTATACACTGGATAAGAGTATATTCCAGGTTTCAAGATGTACTAATGTACTCATATCCTAGGTAGAAGATAAAAACATTCTAAACATCCATCTTCAACAACTCAATCAATGTTAAATATTAAAAATCAGCAATGACAATGGAACAGTATCCATATTTCCTGTATAATAGCAATCATTTGTGCATATAATACAGAGATTTTGTAATT